AGTCTCCACTGTGCCAAAAGAAACACAAACCCTGGATAAGGGCCTGTAAGCAGAGACTGAGGCAGTATGCAACAAGACAGTACATCAACTTACACAGGATGTAGTATCCATCAGCGTTAATAACAATTGTGGGGAAAGTTTCCTGCTCTGTTTGTCAGTTCCTGGAATAATGGTCCCAACATTATCTTCTTTGTTCATTATTCATATATTAATAATGAAACCATCTCCACAAAAATATAAAACAAACAGACTCTGTTGTGCTAAGCAACCTTTGCTCTTGCTGCTAACCTTTTATTTTACTGGTTGGCTGGTAAAAAGAGTCTCTGTACAGTATATGGTTCACAAGTGTTTTGGATAGTTGCTACAGATGCAGCTAGTCCTTGAGGGCCTTCAGCAGAGATGTGTGGGTGTGTTTGTGTACATTTCCATTTCCTGTGCAATACTCACCCAATCACTTACTTCCACTGGTATATTGCAAGATTCCAATGATACATTCCATTGCAAGTCTGGGGACTGTGTGGAGCTCTGGAAGAGAACAATGTCACTTTTTTAAAAAATTGCTTGCCACTTCACTAGTCAGAGGCTGGAGATCTCGATCTAGGTAATGACTAGTGCTGCTGTGACATATAAATTAGGACTTATGCCCATCCACTTTCCTGCTTTCCACAAAACCCTTATATCTTCCCATACTGTAGCTTTGGCAGAAACGCTACTTTTATTGTACCAATGCTGTGCCTAGTCAGGTATCACTGCTAGCATTAACTTTCTCTAGTACTGAAGCTGCAGATTACTACCCAAGAATCACAGGGATCTTTGCATTCTGCAAAACCCCTGGATTCATCAGTGCCTTGACTCACTCCATTGCCTAAACCTTTCTGGCACTGATATTCGTTTTAACTTAAGCTGTGAAAACATGTGGCATCTCCAGATTTCTTCCCTTTCCTCACCACTCCTCACAGTCTGTTTTCAATTTGCATTTGTACAGGGCACTGAGCTGCTATTCCCAGTGATCTATTCCTGATAGCCTTCATCTCTTTCTGCTGAATACTGAGAACACATTTCAAACCTATGATGGTTTAGAGACCCAGCATTATGTATCATACAAATTGTGATTCCATATTTCTCTGTGCTTCAAGGTAGAAAATGGTTGGAGAATGATTTTAAATTTCAAAAGGTTAGCAGACAGCCCCCCCCCCAAAAAAAACCCTCTCTTGAATATAATCTTGGGTAACTGGAATGTCTGTGAAACAGCTTCCAGGCGTTTGTTACACACAGAAAGTGCTTTCTGATAAGATAGGTGTGAGTCTTAGTAAAAAGAACAACCTGGTGACCCACAATGCATGCAGCATGTGTCAAGGCGTGCTTGAAGCTCAGGAGCCTGTACAACACAGGCGAAGGAAAATTTGGTGATTATATGCTGTGTATGGGAATCTGTGTCAGGGAATATTTTAGCTATGGTTCATTCAAAAAGTAAGATCATCTAATGCATTTGCAGAAGTGACAGAAGTGGGAGCAGATGTACTTCACCAAACTACTGAGAAAAGTTTTCTTTATATAAAGTTTGCATGTGAATGTGCACCATGTTTTCATTATTATTTTTAGTTTCATATATATTTTTAGTGTCACCCCAAAATATTTCCTCTAAAGGCGAATTCAGACCAGCTTCTTCTATCTTCTTTTCAGTGCACCAGAAATGGTGCAAGCACTGATGTGTGTTGGTACAGGGTGAGCTCCCGTTGCTCGGTCCCAGCTCCTGCCATCCTAGCAGTTCAAAAGCACATCAAAGTGCAAGTAGATAAATAGGTACCACTGTGGCGGGAAGGTAAATGGCGTTTCCATGTGCTGCTCTGGTTTCGCCAGAAGTGGCTTTGTCATGCTGGCCACATGACCTGGAAGCTGTCTGCAGACAAACACCGGCTCCCTCAGCCAGTAAAGCAAGATGAGCGCCGCAACCCCAGAGGTGTTCGCAACTGGACTTAACTGTCAGGTAAACTGTAACCTTTACCTTTTAGGGATGTTGTGCAGAAAACATAGATGCACTATAGGTAAAATATAGCAGCAAAAGTGAACTAGGATGAAATTGCAACAGCATCAACAGAGCTCTCACCATTGAGAATGCTCTAGTGAGTTGCATGGCTAAATAAAAGAAATTAAAACATTCAAACTCTGCAATTATTTCAAGAGCTTTGTGTGTAAGTGGGGTGCACTACTTTTTATAGCAAACTCTTGGATAAATATTATCTTGCTCTTCAAAAACTAATAAGTGCATAATTTCAAACAAAAGGTACTTAATATAAAGAAAGGACATATTTTATCCTAGAAATCTGAATAGCAAGTATCAAGCTAACATACAATCCTAAAGAGTATCACAACAACAGCATTTAAGAGATTAGGGTACAACCATTGAAAATTTGCTTTCAAAACTGACAGCTTAATGGATAATAAAACTGCTGAATGAAAAATTATGAGGTAAACTAAAAGAAACATTTCTAGGCACTGATATTATTTTGTCATTATCATTCATTATTTTAAACATCTTTCAGTAAGTGGACATGCCCAACCCCATTTGATCGGCCCTCAACAATTTAGACAATTCCCCAGCAGTATGCATCTCAAAGGAGACACTATATATTTTTCAGGATGTGGAACACCTAACCACACCCCACCTGGTGGATGGGCTTTAACACTCCCAGCCAGCTTTGCACTTCTGAACTGCATGAGGAGACCATTGAAATGCACCATGTAGCATCACAATGAGAAATGTCACGCAAACCCACATTAGAGGCTAGTTTAAAGAGAAATCCTGAATAAAGGTCTGGAAAAAATTGTTTTTCAATTTGAACTAACAGCTGCTTCATTTCCTAGTGGAAGCACTTGAAAAGAACCAAGCCATTTCCCTATTCCTGGGGCAGTTGGATAGTAACCTCACAAGTGCCTTGGGGAATCCGCTCGACATCTTTCTTTTGAAGGGCTGAAGTTGTCTAATACTGGGCCAGTGGTCCATCTTGCCCACTACTATCTACAGCAGCTGGCAATGCTTCTGCAAAGTATCAAAAAGAGATATTTCCCAGAATCTACTGCCTGGGGTAATGCGGGGACTCGACCTGAAACCTTTATACCTGCAGAGCATGTGTTCTGTGCTGAGCGATGGCAGAGCTGCTAAACAAAAAATCATCTGTGATACATTTACATATGCAGGTATCAGAAATAAACAGAAAGGTAGATAACATTAGCCACAATTCTTATTGACTATGTACTTTGTTGACAAATAGGAACTGTTTGATCATACTGGTGCAGCAATAAAACTGCTGGCACATTTGCAAAGCTAAGCAGGGCCCAGTATGGTTTCTATGATCCCATGAAGCCCCTAAGGTTGTTTAATAATGGCCTAAAAAAAACAGAGAGGTGTCCAATGTGCTGATGACCCACAGCTCTACTTCTGCTTTAAATCTGCAGGTGTGACGGTGCTGGACTGTTGTCTTGCCCCGGTGATGGACTGGATGAGAGCCAACAAATTGAAGATCAGTTCTGATCACTGCTTTGGCCACTCACGGCTGCTGCTGCTTGCCTGAACTTCTAAGAGCAAGGTAGCACCTTCTAGCTGTGGAGCACCCAGCAGTGACTTGGCTTCTCATTAATAATTCCTTCAATCCAAGATAAATCACCAAACCAAGCAACTAACCAGCAGAGATGTTTTGTGGCCAGGCCCATCATCTGACCTTTGAAAAGGGCCTCACTGTGGAACTTAGTGGCTCTTACTTCTGAATAGACATGTATAGGCCTGTGCTGTAAGCAATTAGTGCTTACTGCAGCAGTGAGTACCCTGTGGCTTTCCAGATGTTTTTGGAATCCATCAGCTCCAGCGAGCATGATCAGTGGTCAGGGATGATGAGACTTGTAGTCCAGAGACATCTATAGGGCCACAGCTTCGTCACTACTTCTTTGCGGTGACAGAACAGTTTTTGCTGCTTTTGCTACAACAGACCAACGCAGCCAGCTATTTGGAGTTTTCAAGATAAATATGAAGATCTCTGAAGAAAGCACTGAGAAATTATATTTCCTGTAATCAAATTGATGGAAAATAGAGATCCAAAATCAATCCATATGTAGTGAAGTAAAAATTATATTGTCGCCAATGTCCACTGTCTTATACATTCCATATAGACTTCTGTTCACAGTTATTGAAACCTATTGAATTTTTTCAGCGAATGCCTTCTCCTATTATTGGAATTTGCAAGGAGACTAGAGATAAATGCTGTAGAGATAAAGTTTGTGAGCTATACTACTGCGTGTCAGATCAAACATTCTTTCACTATGATGAATGACTTCCTTTAAGCTTTAAACTTCTGTGACTCCACTGTTTATTTCATTCCAGCTTCAGTTCAATCCCAATCTTAAGGAGCCAAATCTGTATTCAAGACTGTGACTCCTCTGAGTTCAAGTCAGATAGCTCCCTTTATTCTCTGGCTCAAGTTATTTAAAGATTCCCATTTTCCTTTTAATGGTTTAAAGGTTATATTCTGCACAGACATTGTATGGTTTAGACGACAGATGTTTCTGGCATGAACTCTTAGGTCTCAGCCTTACAAATTTTGATTGTACAGGCTAATGGTTTCAAAGAACTTGGGAATCACAGACTTAGTCAACAGTTTATGCCCTCTGGTGTTAAGGAGGCAGGAGTGGTCAATCCAGAATACCTAGAAGGTGCTAGAACTTTGTGTGTTTAAGAGAAAGGGAGAAGTGTAGAATTAGTAAACATCTTGGCTTCATATAGATCACCAGACAGAGCTTTCTAGAAATTTCCTGCAGAGACAGTTTACTTGTAATATCAAAAGTATTAAGCATCATCCTGATAGATACGGTACTTCAACTAATAAATTCAAGTCAAAATACAACTCAGATAAATATGTTAATAATTTTTGGGGGGGGGAATACAGGTTGGAGCAGAAGCCTATCATATTTCCATCTATGCTTCCTTCTTAATTCCTTTGTGTTTGTGCCATTATTATACATGTGCCCATTTATTTTCTTGCAGTACTTTAGAGAAGCCTTTTCAGTAATGTTGAATCAGAGCAAAGCAATCTAGTGTATTCTGCAGCAGGCCTGTAGCATACTGTTTTGAAAAAGGCACTCCTATATTAAATTATATACAACACAAATATTGTTTTATAATACTGCCATGTTTAGTTCCACGTTTGGTCTTTTGTAACTTCTGAAGGAGCATCATCAGAGACACCGGAATATCGTGGAAGGGTGTTTTATACCATACACTATCTACAAATTCACTCTTTCCACCTTAACATTCACCATCGTAATCTTAACTGAAAAACAGAACAAGCTAGCATGTTTGGGTATCAGGTATTTTCCCCCCTATAAAAACACACTGGAGAGCTTTATTGTTGTTTAGCAACAATGTAAAAAATACTTGCAAAAAGTATTCAAACGTCTGCTATTTTGAAGATATTCAAACCCTGCTAGACCCACTTGTTTTGTCATTTAGCTATTTTTAAAAGTATTTTTATACCGCCCTCTTGCAAAACATCAAGGTTTCTTTGGCTATGTTTGAAGCAAGAGGAAGAACAAGCAAGTAGTAGGTCCTCTGCATGGGGAAAACGTAGAAATGCTATTGGACGAAAGAGAGAAAGGGGAACTGCTCTACCTCCTCTATTTTTTACATCATAAAACCCTGCATAGATTTTTAAGGGTATAGTATATACATATTTGTTCTCTAAAACCCACACAGAAAATGGATGGACTTTAGTCCTGTCATGTGATGAACTGGCCTGAAACTAATTTTGTCCTTGAGTTCACCTCTAGGTATAGCTTCTATTCCTTGCATAGACAAGAGAAAACCATAGGTTAGCATAAAAAAGAGAGAGAAATAGCTACTTTGTCTTAATGTTTTGAAAGAGAACACAAGGTAAGTCAAACAACTGAGTTCAAGGCCAGAGATCATGTCACTGCAGCAATACAAAATTCAATTGGGCACTTGTTGGCCTCCATTCTTCCTCTGGTCAAACAGTGAACTGGTACTCATTATCGAAAGTTTATTCAGATCTATATTGCTATGCATTAAAAAATGGAATAAAGACCATCTATTTTTAACAAGAAAAAATGTTTGGAATTCAATGGTGAATTGAACATAAGGGCTTTGTAGGATTACAGTGGCCTCTTTGTACTTGATGGAAGACCATTGAAAAATGCAATGGAGAATGAACAGAAGTCCATTTGCTTCTCATTGCAGATAAACCAGAGATTTATCAGGGATGTGATCAATGCCTAGCTTAGTGAGAATAATCCCATTTTTCTTATTCGATACAGCATGCATAATGAATTAAAGACTTAAAAACTGCACTTTTACAACTCAAAAAATGGGGGGAATGCATTTAAAGAGAGGGGCATTAAATCCATTCATGATCATAATATTAATGTTGTGTTTGTTACAGGTCTGGTTTTTCTAGGGATGTTTCCTTCATAATCATAAGATATCCAAATGGATTAGAGCAGTACAGAAAATAACTAAAGATGTGGATTCTAATATATTTGGGTTCTGCTCCATCCAGCTGATGTTATTTCGAGGGGGTTGCTCAAGACTTCTGAAGATTAAGCAACAACTCTAGAAACTCAGGGATCCAGCAAATCTGCAGAAACAGAGACAGAGTATTGTGGCATTAAACTGAACCCAAGAATACTTTTTGTTTAGGGAAACCTGGCATGTCAGGAAATGGCGTAGTGGGATGGAGCTGCAAGCTGACCTGTCAATACCGCTGCTTCTGCATCTTACCTGAACAAGTGCTGGGCCAAGCCAAAGCAGCAGAAAAGTTGGCTCTGTATGGATGCATCAGAGGAGGCAAACTGGCGCTCCTGCCAGCACTTCTGCACAATCCCAACATCAGTGTTATTGATGGGTAGTAGCCACCCATGCTGTGTTCTACCTTCTCTGTCAAATATAAAAGGTAAAGGTAAAGGACCCCTGACAGTTAAGTCCAGTCACAGACAACTCTGGGGTTGCGGCGCTCATCTCGCTTTACTGGCCGAGGGAGCCAACGTTTGTCCGCAGACAGTTTTTCCAGGTCATGTGGCCAGCATGACTAAGCCGCTTCTGGCGAAACCAGAGCAGCGCAAGGAAACACCGTTTACCTTCCTGCTGGAGCGGTACCTATTTATCTACTTGCATTTTTGGTGTGCTTTCAAACTGCTAGGTTGGCAGGAGCAGGGACCGAGCAACGGGAGCTCACCCCACTGCAGGGATTCAAACCACCGACCTTCTGATCAGCAAGCCCAAGAGGCTCAGTGGTTTAGACCACAGTGCCACCCTGTCAAATATAGTATGCCACTAAGTATCAGTTGCTGAGGAAGATGGCTGGTGCACACTGGTTTTGTTTGTGGGCTTCCCACAGGAATCTTGTTGGCCACTGTGAGAACAGGATGCTACAGTAGATGGGCCTTTGATCTGATCTAGAATGCTTTTCTTATGCTTCAGTGATATTTGGCTTTCTTATTGCCTGATACAGTTAATTAATATCAAAACCAGCTGTTCTATTTCTCTTTTCTGCTGCAAAGACTCTTAAAGGCTGCTGTCTGTAGCTGTTTTCCTATATTTATTTCTATTGTTTTATACATGTATGTCATATATTTTTATTTTTATTTTAGAAATTGATTTCCTCCCCTTCCCCCCATTCTCACAGCCTATTTATAATGCATGGGGCGACAGAACAACACATAAATAACTTTGCTTATAGAGATCAGCCTTGGATTCTAATTGTTACTTCTTGTTTCCCCATTTAAAAAAAAAGTTTATTCCTGTAAATTTCACTATTATGAAATATTCCTGAAATAAAATTGTATACTATATCATATATTGTTAAGCAAATGTCAGATTATAGCATACTGAGAATATCCATAGTTCTCTTCTTCTTTTGTGGAAGACTATCAGTTTTGATGGAAAATGTGGATTGTTTGCATTCTCCCTAAGCCATTTGTAACATGTATTTTTGTTCTTGTTTACCAATTTCCATCTAGTTCCTCCCATACCCTGTGGAACATTCTGCTCCTTCACCCACTAAACAGAGAGAAGCACAAGAAGCTACCTATCGTTAATAAATTCTCTATTTCAATACATCAGTAAGCCCTTTTTTATGCCTTAATACAAGAGAGACTGCTCTGGTGGAAACTCTTTACTGCCGTGTATTTTCTTGTTAATGGCTTCAAAGTAATATGAACCGCAGCATGGGTTTAATTCCTGAATGCAGTGCTAAAATAGCCTGGCAGTATTTTAGAGTAAACTTGCTGCATTTAACCAATGGGTCTCTAAGGACTGTAGGGAGTAAAATGTAATATGCTTCTGAAAGGTATAAATCAAGGTCCCTAGTTATATGCTTTCAAATGTGTATTTGACATTGTGTGGGTCAACTGACGCTTAACAGGCAATTTGTAGCTCTGTTAGAAGCTGTGTACATAGTTCCACTTTTCGTCTTCTCAATATTTTGTATTCATAATGAAACTTAGGGTCCCCCCCGCCCGGTAAATAAATGGGACTTTAACCTGAAGTGATCCCAACTTCAGTTTAAGGACATGCAAATCCCTCACAAGGTGAAATAGGTTTCTTTTCAGCTCCAGCATTTATACTTCAAATGAAAAACCCACGTAGCCTAGAAAAAATTGCAATGTCTCCCAATTAAGATGTATTTATGGAAGAGAAGGTATTGCGAGTGACTATTAAGTTAGTGGTAAAAATTGTTTGCAGTGATGTCTGATGGGTGAACATTTTTGAGTAATGTTGCTACTCTGGTTTAGGTTGGGGCCAGGATGACACCATGCAGGGCCAGTGCAAGGATAGACAACTAGTTGGCAGGTAGAGTGCCCTCCGCTCCTGGTCTCTTTGGATCCAGAAAGACAAAGCATGTCAAGACTTGCCCACCCTCCCTATGGGATTCACCAGTTGTCCATTAGGCTGAGTGTATGCTATTCTCACATTCAGCACAAGGGGAACACCCTTTTCCCCACCTTCTGCATGCTGTTAAAGCAGGCAGGGTTGCAATATTTATTGATGTGGTTATTTGGTTGCATGAAACATTACTTGGGTCACAACATGGGTAGGCAAACTAAGGCCCAGAGGCCCAATCACCTTCTAAATCTGGCCCACAGACGGTCTGGGAATCAGTGTGTTTTACATGAGTAGAATGTGTCCTTTTATTTAAAATGCATCTCTGGGTTATTTGTGGGTCATAGGAATTCGTTCATTATTTTTTTCAAAATAATAGTCCGGGCCCCCACAAGGTCTGAGGGACAGTGGATCGGCCCATGGCTGAAAAAGGTTGCTGACCCCTGGATCACAACTTTGGACAAGATACTTCCAGCTGTGCAGCCTGTTACATCCTCTATTGACCTTTGTCCATCCTGGCTGGTTCATGCAAGCTAAGGAGGGTTCACTGGGGGGAACCACGGTGTATGGGGAACACAGTGTTGCATGATGAGGCAATACTTGGAGGTTGAGATGTGGCCACATCTGGAAAGAAACAACATGAACCCAGAGATTTATGCCAACTACCATGCAGTCACCAGTACACCTTTTTGGGGTTAGGGTCATTGGCTCAACTGCAGGTCCTCTTGGATCAAACTTGACTCATCCCAGTCTGAGTTCAGGCCCAGTTTTGAGATACAGTGAGCATATCTGACAACTGGATTTCCATTAGATTGATAAAGAATAAAATGGGGAAACCATACCAGTAGAAAACCAGTAGAAAATATACATGGAAATTCAATCAGTAAGAATAGAGAGGAAAGGTAACAGCTCCATCACAAAAAAGGGATCTGGTTTGGGTTTCAGTCATGCTTTGGGACATGTTCAGGGCAGAAATAAAATAAAATAATGATGAGGTCTTCTGATGAAGAACATTGTGTAACTTGTTTTTACAGTTTATGTCAGACTTGCTAAGACCAGGCAGTGTGCTGACACAGAAGACAAAAACAGTAGTGAAAACAGAAAAAAAAATCTGCACGCAGAATGCAGGTCTCATTGTCTGATGCAAAGCTACCCCTCAGTCATTGTGAACTGTTAAGCCCAGTCGCTTGTTTACGTGCTCTCTATTGTTTTCGTATTGGTGTATTATTATTATTTTTAATATGGCAGGCTCACGTAGAATTGATTTAAGCCTGCAGTCTGTGGAACAAGAGAGATGTTGCCTGAGTCCTCAGCTTGAAAGCTTCATGCAGTATCAAATTTGGGCCTAGGTGGACGCAAACCCTCCAGGTGTCCCTATTTCCAGGGACAGTCCCAGATTTACAGAAGCCATCTCAGTTTCTGATTTGATCCCATAATGTTCTGCTTTTCCTTAGGACCCCTGTTTTCATTGGAGAAATGCTGGAGGTTATAGATTTATGCGACCCCCCAGCCAGGGAGATAAGATACAACCTTTAGAAGGCAGCCCTGTATAGAGTTTTTTAAAATGTTTAATTTTTTAATGCTTTTTTATGTATGTTGGAAGCTGCCCAGAGTGACTGGGCAACCCAGTCAGATTGGTGGGGTATAAATGTTGTTGTTGTGAAATAGAATGTCCCCATTTTCCTCAGAGAAATGTTGGCGTGTACATGGACTTTGCAGTACTTTGCTCAATCAGGGATCTTCTGAAGATGTTTGTGCATTTGGCAAAAGAACAGAGTAGCTGTCTCTTTCCATGAAGGAAGACAATGGTTCTGGCACACTGTCACAACCTATCTTTAGTTGGGGTTTTGTATTGTTTAAAAACCTATCTTTAGTTGTTTTTAATTGCATGGCTGTAAACCATCTTGAGGCATATGTGAGTGGTGATTCAAACAGTAGCAAAATAATACTAAGACTATTAATAATAATGAATTAGGATGCTATAAAGCTGGCATGGGAACCTCAGGCCTAAGGACCAGACGCAGCCCTCGTGTTCTCCTTATCCAGCCCTGGGGGAGATCTTACTTGGGTAAAATTATCTGCATATAGGAACCCCTTTTGCACCATTGTTGAATGCATAGAGGTTTTGGAAAGTGGAACAGGACAGCAAGCACAAACCTGTTCCCCAATTATTCAATCAATGCTTGCAAGCCATATCTGAAATTGCCTCAGAATGAAGCAAATATTTGATTTTGGCCCCACTTCATGCATTGTCTGTGTTTTCTACCCAGCCATTTGTATGAAATAGTGTCCTTATGGCTCAGCTGATGCATATGAGCACTGACAGGTGTCCACGTGCTTTGGGTTTCCAACAACCTTGTCTATAGTCCCAATTGGCTTTCCATCCGAGCCATCCTGACTACAATTCCCATCAGCCCTAGCTTGAATGGCCAATGGTAAGGGTTGATGGGAGTTGTAGTCCAGCAACATCCAAAGGGCACCATGTTGGGTAGCTATGATCTATGCAATGAGCAGGGGCCAAGCGCTTTGATCAAGTGTTCAGTCTGCATTGCAACAGGTGCCTTCAAGACATTTTTCTTAATACGATTAACCAGAACATTGATTATATTTTCTCTCCTAATTTTATTAGCATCGCCTTCTGCTCTCTAGCCTCTGAAGAGGAATTCTACTATTTATTGACAAATTCAGCTGATTCAATATCTAACATACTAATGATCCTAAAAATGTTTTCCTGGAAATTGGGCTCCCCTGAGTCCAATACAACTTACATCTTGGAGTGCAGTTATATGGTGTAAAGAGGTAAGACAAATGCAGTCAAAAGCTGTGGGAAGCCAAGTAAGCATTTCAAATGCCTGCTAAGTTATCCTTTGAGGTCTTGCTTCCAAATAGAGAAAAGATGGGCACTCTGACTCTCCTGGGGAAGCTGTTAAAGGCCTGTAGGATGTGATTTATTTGCACAGGTCTGATGAATGGCGTGAAATCAAATGACTTCAGTGAGGAAATGATAAACTATCTGGAGAATAATGCAGCTTGAAACCTAAACATATGTTTATAGTTGCTGTTCTGGGCTGATAGCCAAGAGGGCATTTTGCTTAGCAAGCTGGGTTAATATAAGTCATACTTTCCCAAAAGCAACGCATACAAAACAAAAAGGGCCCCGCATTTAATATAGGGAGTAGACATATATTAGTTTCTCTTGGTTGTGGGAAAGACCAGGTACCAAAGGGTAAATAGCCATACAATTAGAACTTCAGTTCTTAATGCAAAGAAATAAATCAAGTCTATAATAAATAAATTGCTCAAAGGTAACAATTTATTAACACACTAATATATGTGAAACAATTTGATTGCCTGAAATATACTGTATAAATTATTATTATTTATATTGTAATTCACTAAAAGGCAGTCTTTGCCAAAGTGGTGCCCTCCAGGGTTTTTGGACCACAGCTCCCATCAGCCCCAGCCATAAGGGGATTTTGGGTGCTGGTGACCAAGTTGCTGGTTCTGGCCATGAATGGCTGAGTTTGGGGGTTTTTTAAGTTGCTTGCTGACACATGCCTTTACATATTTCACTTATGGGAATATGGACATTTCAGTCTGTGATTTCTGCATGGAGAAAGCCCCAGTAAAACAACAGAAAGGAAGTGAAAGTTTCTGAGTAACTACTTAATGTATACAAACAAACAGCATGTTCGGCTATATGCATAAATGATTACAACTCCTTTGAAAGGGTGAATGTGTATCTGCTAAAGCGTGATACAGAAAGTTCTGCCAGTATATTGAAATAAAAATGTAACTGAGATAACGGCTGCCAAAACCCGAGGATTTGTCCATCTTTAACAGTCATGTCCCTGGAATGCTGGTGTCTTGTGCTCTGTGGTCTGGTCAATATACTCCAACCCACGTTTTCCATATATTGTTACAAGTTACACAATCCTGCTATAAATCATTTTTCAGGTCCAGCTGAACGCAGGCCATGAGGGAAGCTGATCACAGACATGCTCTTGCTGCGTCTCGGCCAGCATCCATGGTAGGAATATTTAAACACATGAGCATCTGGGATGTTTAAGACAGGTAAGAGCTTGCATCGTGTCCTGCGTTACAATTAAATCAGCAGCGTTTTCACTGTCTTGGGGAGGATACATTCTGAGTGTTCTCCATTTTTCAAACACAACAATGAATGCGGAAGAACTGTGCACACTTGCATCTGTAGCTACAGGGAATTGCAGCTGCCATGCCCTGAACTGTGAGCGTGCACAGAAGAAAACATACCAGGTTTCAGGGTCTTGGGTCTTGGCTGGTGCCCACAAGGAGGCATTTTGTGTTATTCTACAAAGCATGGCACCCTCAGACTCCTGCTTTCTAAGGAAACGTCCAAATGTAAATTTCCTGGAATGCTTGGCATGGAGTGCCTGGAACTAGTTTAGTGTGTTGCGCTATGTGGGATGCAAGGAGCATGGGTCAGTGAAATTGAAGTAGCTGTAGGAGAATGTTTGGTTATTTCAGAAAAGAAGCCCAGCCAACATTGTTGTAAAACGGAGTCTAGAACAGCAGCATGATTCACAGTCTATAGTTGAAATAGCAGTGTAACAGTGAACTCTGCATCACAAGGGCAATATTTTCCATAGGCCTTAGGAAGGGTTTGCGTGTCGAGGTCCCCAAGCCACCCCCCAATAACTCACACATCACACATCAATTTTGGTTTGGGTTTTTGGCACAATTTTGGCCACAACTTTATTTAAATACATCCGAGTGAGTGGTTGCTTAGGCATTGGTTCAGACTATCTGTCCTTGCCCAGGGGACAGAACTGACTTCTGGATCCCAGCAAAAGCCAGTGCGGGAAACAAATTTTGGGGAGAAAATGAAGCTGGGCCTCAGTTCCTCACTTCTCCCCTCATGCTCCTGGTGGCTTGCACGGCCCAAGTCCGATGCCAGGGACAAGGACAAAAAGAATGGCAAGCCCCTGGATTCCTTTAACGGAATTCCCTTTCCGCACACCATTGGAGGGGTAGGCACTTACCCCTCCACCAAACAATTTGAACCAATGCCTAACCGCCAACCTTACAAGTTGTGACGATTTGCTACGCAGTAGGCAAAACCAAATGGCACCAGCCAATCAGCCAGATGGACAAATTCCTTCCAGGCCCCTGCCTCAAAGCAGACGACCCCATGACAGGCATAGCAAGGTCAAGCAAACACCCCCCCCCCCAATACAGTGAGGGTGGGCGGGTGATCCAGTGCAAGCAGCCAAGAGAACGCTCAAAGTTGGGCATCCAGTATTTAAAACCCCTGACCCCTCCTTCAAAATTGGCAACAAGCAGTTCTCCCCAGCGACCCAATTAACCAATTCACTGCCTGGGTCCCTCCATAAATCCGCCCAGCAACAATGAGGTGGCTTGTATCCCCCACCACAACACGTGCTCTCTGCTAGGGAGAACACTTTTTCCATACAATATAAGGAGTTTTAGGAACATGCCTATTGAAAATGGCCCCATGCTTTGTAGGATAATCCTAAATACTACACTGTCACTACAGGCCAAGGTGTGTGGAATGTCACATGGAAGCAGCCCACACCAGCTGTGCTCAGCTCACACTAGATCTGTAGTGTTGGGATTTACATTATAGAAGGCTGAATGTATTGATACGAGTGTGTGCTGCCTTATTTTAGAGGAGTGTATTAATAAAGCAATGTAAAGACAATTTTAATTTGCCTCTTTTTTTGGCGGGCGGGCGGGGGGTTAAATAAGCATTTTTCTTGGTATCTTTAGCTGTTTGAAAGAAACCAAAGTGGGTTTTTCATTGAGGCAATGGTATGACAGGGTCTGGAAAATTGCCTTTGTTGGGAAACTAGCAAAAATGGAAATTGGCAAGAGGGGAAAGAGTGATATTTATCTCTATGTATTAATCCAAGGTTAAGAGATATCTAGCCTCCAGTTTCTCAAAGATCCTTGTGGAGAGTTTCCCTCTCATAGATGGAGCTTATTGTTACTTGATGGAATGTTTTAATCATTTGAGCTTGTCTATGCAGATTGCTGTTTTCCCAAGACTTTGTACTTCCTGTTCTTAAAAAAAAAAGATCATTGGTGGTTGCAATTTTCACAAAATGTTATAAATATAGATACAGAAATGTGTTCAAGTCTTTTCAGCTAACTTTGAAATGGTATGTGCACTTTTGCCAATTTTCCCTACAGACGCTTGCTTGCATCCTCTGAAGATCTCTTCCGAATGACTGGGAGACTGATTGAAACCGGCGAAGTGAAGCTGCTGGAGGAGGAGAAAGTCAGCAAAAACAGCCTCCTCCCTTTTGCACTACTTAAAACTCCTCCATGGGATCAAAAACATTCTGTGGGTAGATGGAGCCTTTCTGTTCATGAAAGTTTATATCTGAATCCAACTCAAGGAATAAAGTCAGACTCAAATCTTACTACAAATGCAATAACTTTTTAGACAGAAGTTTTACTTTTCCTGGAAGTAAGCTACATTGAAAAATTCCTAAACAGACAGACATAGAAAGCTGCTGTAAGAATGTACAGTGGTACCTCGGGTTACAGACGCTTCAGGTTACAGATGCTTCAGGTTACAGACTCCGCTAACCCGGAAAGTAGTACCTCGGGTTAAGAACTTTGCTTCAGGATGAGAACAAAAATCGTGCTCCAGTAGCACAATGGCAGCGGCAGGCCCCATTAGCTAAAGTGGTACCTCAGATTAAGAACAGTTTCAGGTTAAGAACAGACCTCCAGAACAAATTAAGTTCTTAAGCCGAGGTACCACTGTATTCTTTTTTATTATAATAATTTCTATTAATTTTAATACATTTCCAATAAAAGCCACATTGTCACATTACCGTATTACAATCCAGTTAAAAAAAAGAGAGCCAATTATTCAAAAACCAAATTAATCCATCTGAAATGACTTACGGTGTACTGGGTTTCAGGTTACAAAGTTATTATTTCTTCCTGCTTTCATAATCTTAATTAATCCAATAACAACATTTCCGGTCTTAATCCTTTGTTGACAGCCACTGGTTTCTTGACCTTCATTTGTAGTTGTATATTTAATAACTTTTATTTCTGCAAGAATATATTCTTAAACTGTAGCAAAGACGACACTCGGTTGATTTAAGCTGTGAATTCAAATTAAGTCTCCTCTAGATCTCTGTTGTTGTGGCTGGAAAGGTGTATGTTAAAAGAATGCTCCCTCAGTTTATGGCTGCATATGCACCATATATTTAAGTGCATGACTTCCCCCAAATAATCCTGGGAACTTTAGTTTGTTAAGGGTGCTGGTAATTGTAGTCCTGTGAGCGGTAAGCTACAGCTCCCATGATTCTTGGGGGAAGCTTGTGTTTGATATGCTTTAAAAGTATTGTGTGCTTTCACTGTGACCTTTAAATACACATAGGAAGAATGAAGTGAGAAAGAAGATTGGGTGAGAAAGAGCCAATTTTATTTTTAAACTATACTCCAAACGTTGCACGCTATCTATCAATCAGCACTTTGTCTCTTAATGAACTTTTACAGCCCAGTTGTGCTTGTCCCACAGTAGTTTCCTTATCAGCCGCCACCTTAATCTGTTTTTCATTCTGCCAGTTATATCGCTTCCTACTTGCATGAAGGCAGATTGTGCTTCACAATCAAGTCAGGCCTCTTTCTGACTCTGCAGTGGAAGCCTTATTGAAAAACTAGACACATTCAACCATTAGAACAAGCCAAACATACTAGGGAGAAGATCGTGTGCACAAGATGAGGCTGTACATTAAATAATATGCTGACTCCTCATATTGAGTCCACCCTCAAAGCACAATACTGTAGATCAAAATTCAGCATCCACATTTCTGGAAATGGTCTTTACAAATCTTCAGGGGTCATAAAGCTTGTAGCAGGATAAAAATATGTAACAAATCAGGTTCCTGGGGGCTGAATCAACAGGCAGATATTTTAATCAAGTTTTATTGTTTCAACTAACATGGTTAATTTACAAGAGATATTACAAGTGACCTCCCTGGAAAGCAAGCCTGCAGTGTCTATGGAGGTCCCGAGCCACCCAGGTAACAATTCAATGAAAAAGAAACTACATCTAACATCCTTATTTTATATCTTTTTCTAGAAGTTTTTATTCAAACTTTTCACCCGGTTTTCCCCATTGTATTTTGGGTTTTAAAGGCTAACTTTGTTTTTGTTTGTTTATTTCTTATCTTTTGAAGTGGAGGAAGTAGGTTAGAGGGTTGTCTGTTGCATTATTATAGGCCAACTGTTGAGATATTTATTGTTTCCTGCAACGTGTCCCAGTTTATTACCAGCTTGGATTGAAATGGGTGAAATAATACCTTTTATCAGGCCAAAGTGTTCAGAGCGCAAGTAAAACAGAACAAGATACTGATATAAAAAATTATTATATACACATATTATGCTACTTTCAGGCTGTAAATTCGCTTAGAGATTATTGGATTCTGCACCGAGGGTATGGCTAGTTCTAAGATTACACACAGCATTTAAGATCTGAATGGCAAAAGAAAACTCTATATGTATTGGGCTAGATTTGTCATGATCTCCACCTTGGCTTCATTGTTGAAATATAAGGGCAGAGCAGGTAATGGATAAAGCAGAAACAGTTAAGTGTGTGGGAGGAGAGAAATGTAGCTTTGGCTTAAACTGTAAGTTAAGGTAGAATCTGTTAGCTTGGTTGATGTTGCCTTTATAAGGATAGTCAGGAATTAGATGCTATGGCTGTAGCTGTTTTTCTGAAGAAGAAGAAAAAATACAGTTTTCATAGCCACTGGTGATCAACAAGAGCCAAGATATCATAGATAGTCTAAGGATGAACAAGAAAAATGATATTGGTTGCTAAACCCACTCCATCCTCCTACCATTGTCAGCATTATTGCTGTAAGGCAGAATGATGAGGGTCAAATTAAATGTAATGTATGAGATCCATAATTGGGTTTTCTAGTATCGAAGATCATGGCCACTGGTCCCATCACCTCCTGGCAAATAGAATGGGAAGAAATGGAGGCAGTGAGAGATTTTACTTTCTTGGGCTCCATGATCACTGCAGATGGTGACAGCAGCCACGAAATTAAAAGACGCCTGCTTCTTGGGAGAAAAGCAATGACAAACCTAGACCGCATCTTAAAAAGCAGAGACATCACCTTGCCAACAAAGGTTTGTATAGTTAAAGCTATGGTTTTCCCAGTAGTGATGTATGAAAGTGAGAGCTGGACCATAAAGAAGGCCGAAGAATTGATGCTTTTGAATTATGGTGCTGGAGGAGACTCTTGAGAGTCCCATGGACTGCAAGAAGATCAAACTTATCCATTCTGAAGGAAATCAGCCCTGAATGCTCACTGGAAGGACAGATCATGAAGCTGAGGCTCCAATACTTTGGCCACCTCATGAGCAGAGAAGACTCCCTGGAAAAGACCCTGATGTTGGGAAAGATGGAGGGCACAAGGAGAAGGGGACGACAGAGGACGAGATGGTTGGATAGTGTTCTCGAAGCTACCAGCATGAGTTTGACCAAACTGCGGGAGGCAGTGGAAGACAGAAGTGCCTGGCGTGCTCTGGTCCATGGGGTCACGAAGAGTCGGACACGACTAAACAACAACAAGTATTCTGTGTGTGTGTGTGTGTGTGTGTGTGTGTGTGCACGCAAACACTTAAATTTGTGTTATGGGGGTGGGAGGTGATTCAGATCAGGGATCAGGCATAGGGAGAGAGGTATAACCTTTTTCTCACTGTCAATTTCCTAATGTAAATAGCTTTCCTATACCCAATGCCAAAGCTGCATGGAAGGGCAAACAAGTGGCATCCCACAATTCCACTACTGTATTATCCAAATCAAGACCCTCCATAGTTTTTTATATATCTATAAAAATATAAATATAAATATAAATTTTTTAATGCCAGGAGTTCCTTTTTGCCCATTACTCTCCTTTCACACCTCTAAGCCTCTGAGCTTGGTGATGCAATTCCCCTGTCAAATAAGGTGTATAAAAATCCACATATTAGTGGTAAATATGCATAACATTAAAATGCATTGTATCAGGGAACATTGTTTCCAAAAGAAAAAAGTATAATATACTGAACAAATTCACATGTGGGCTTAAAAAAATAAAATAAAAAATGAAACCAAGAGAAATGAATATGGGAAGATTTATCCATCTCTGCCACATCACATTTACTGTGGCCCTGAGTTACATCCATTAACTACTGATTTGAAGCATTGGAGTTCAGTACATACAATGAAACTTGCCCTCCTGTTCCCTGTCTTCTTTTGGAGGGTAAAAGAGAGGGACACACAGATTTTCCTCTGTGCTGTGGAGGTTTCAAACAGTAATGCTGTTACCTGCATCTACTGTCACCCATCTCAGGCCTCTGCAGGCATTCCATCCATGTGCGCTGTAAATATGCAAGGGGGGGCTACAGGGAGCACATTGGCTCCACCCATTGTCACTCTGCTGCTATCCTTCATGAGGACAGACTTGTGAAACAGGGATCCTGCTTCAAGGCTCCCCCAAAATTTTAGATCTTTAATTTTCCAGGGCTCTAAAATGAATGGGGAGGTTCCGCAAACAGACGACATCCATGCACTTAGCTTCCAACCTGTAGTGGGTTGTAGGGTGAGGCAGCAGTGCTCACCTGACCTCCAGTTACCCACAGCACCACTACAGAATAGGTTAGAGAGAGGAAGGTGACAGCAAAGTCAGCAAGGTGCAAATGCACCATGGGGGCACCACATTGGTTCTTCCGGCGTGTGTGCACTGCACCAACCTTGCCTCTTCCTCCTTCTTAGCCTTCTCCATCCTGGTATACAGCCGTGATGTGAGTGCCACTACCCCACCCCACTGCTGCATTCTATATGACAAAGGTGAACCAAAATGGTGACCAGGGGATACAGGGTCAGAGCTAATTTGTGCATCCGTATAACAGCTCCTTTCACATGTCAACGGAATATGATGACAGAAAGCTTGACGAGAGCTCTTAAGCTACTTATTTAATGAATCTGTCCTCTAGTTCAACTCCCCACAGAGCATTTATTCTCTCAAATTCATTAGAAACTTTGTTCAAGAAAACTTTTCCATATATCTGTATTCAATATATTGTTAGAATAAACTACTTCCATATATAGTTTTATCTACATAAAATTCATGCATAGGAAGCAAAATGATGCTGCAGTCTTTAATGTTCCATCTCAACTTCATCTTGCTGATGTCAGATGGTATTTTTACGCTTTGTTTGTATAACCCTTTACAAGTACTCCCTCTAAGCCGAGGTTGTGGGTTTGGCATTTTCACATTAATTACCACACATTACCACGCCTTGCCCTGTTAACTGGCTTGCGGGATAAGAGCTTATGTGGTTAAAAATAGGCCTCATCAACTTGCTAAAGACCTTTTAATGACACAGAGCAGATAACGATATGATTCTTTTTCATGAATTTTTAACTTTATGCTAAGATGGAGTAATTTTGCATTTAAATCTGCCTGCCATTAAACTTCAGGGCTAAGAGTGACTTGGGAAAGAGGTTTACAGTTTGCAATGTCACAGGGAAGATTCCCACCCTGCCCCCCAATTTCAGGAAATAGCTTTTTCTATATCAAACCGAGCTGTAGTATATCTATATTTTTAAAAGCTTTTTTTTACTCTTAACTTGATCAGACTGCCTGAATTCTATGGTATTCAGAATATAGAAGAATAACAGCATCCTACAAAAGAAGAAGAAAAAAGGCTGATCTGTTGCAGAATTAATTCCTGTCTCATAAACTAGATTTTCTCCAGAAATGACATGGTTTGGCATTTGTGGCACCATTAACTGGATGAAGGGCACAGAACTTACTATGAATAATATGGTTCTGTATGCCACACCAACAAGCTAGCACAGTACCCAGAGAAGTGTTACTGAAAGTAGGTACATTTAATG